AACTGATCTCCGGCTGATTCCAGGAAGCCCGGGGCAGAGCAACTCTGCCTCGGGCTTCCTGTAGTCAGCCGCTGGTCAGTTTCAGCAGCGGCTGAATCTGGACGCCAGTTCCGTCTTACATACAGATTCAACTTAAGAACAAACCTACAGTCCCTATCTTGTACGTAACCCGGGGACTGCCTGTATATGAAACTTGCATTTTGCGATCTCCGGCTGATTCCAGGAAGCCCGGGGCAGAGCAACTCTGCCTCGGGCTTCCTGTAGTCAGCCGCTGGTCAGTTTCAGCAGCGGCTGAATCTGGACGCCAGTTCCGTCTTACATACAGATTCAACTTAAGAACAAACCTACAGTCCCTATCTTGTACGTAACCCGGGGACTGCCTGTATATGAAACTTGCATTTTGCTCAGCATCCATAAATACAGAATTTAAACTAGTAGAAGAAACATGATATAATATCTTGGGGATGCATCTTGCTTGAGGTAATAACTGGGTCATGAGTTGAATAAACTTAGAGCGTAATGTGGATGTGTTTTGTAAAAAGCTTTTAAACCAGTGGTCTATCAGGTTTTTTTTTTTTACTTAGGGCATGGTTATTACTGAATAGTCAGGAAGCAATTGGAAAGAATTAAGGAACTGTGAAATTTTTAAATGGAAGGGGGAAAACAAAACAAATATCTTACAAAATAGAATAAACTTCAGAAAGGTAAAATGCTTCTTTATGAAATAGACAAAAATGTTTAGCTCCTTGATCCTCCTTCCAGTTATCTCAACTTTTCCTCAGTCTTTTACTTTTTTCTAACCCATTCCTACACCACAGGTCAATACATGCAGCGTATTTTTGTTTTCCTTCTTTTACAACTGAATGAGAGAGAACCAAGGCCCCAATTCTGCAAAAGCTTAGCAAGTGTTTTAACCTTACATATGTGTTATTGTCCAACTGAAAACAGTAGAGCTATTTATACTACATAAAGTTAAGCATTTTCATGAATTTGCAGATTCAGGGCGTTAGTGTATGGCAAGTGATTTCTTGCCTATAGGACAGGGTAGGAAAGGGATGGGCAAGAGGATGGAGAAAGGCTGTTCTCAGTAGTGACAGATGGCAGAACAAGGAGCAATGGTCTCAAGTTGTGGTGGGAAAGGTCCAGGTTGGATATTAGGAAAAACTATTTCACTAGGAGGGTAGTGAAGCACTGGAATGGGTTGCGTAGGGAAGTAGTGGAGTCTCCATCCCTAGAGGTGTTTAAGTCTCGGCTTGACAAAGCCCTGGCCAGGTTGATTTAGTTGGGATTGGTCCTGCCTAGAGCAGGGGGCTGGACTTGATGAACTTCTGAGGTCTCTTCCAGCTCTATGATTCTGTGAAGAGGAAAATATGTCAAAGGGGCTCAGAATTTTTTTTAAAACTTTTCTCCTTGTACCTTGTGTTGAGAGCCCCTTTTTTGTTTGCTTTGTGGGATTTTTTTCTTAATGTAAAAGTGAGATTTTACCACTGAAGGAAGAGAGAAACTAAGAAGGTGTTTTTATTGCTGGCAGAAAGCTTGCTTAGTCAAAGTACAAGATCAGGTCAGAGTAAGGGAGTTTGAGTAGTCTCAAAAGAATTATAGTAATTATACAAATTGTGACACCAACAAACCAAGTAAAGGAAACTGTATAACTGGGGTAAAAACAGCGTAGTTATGTTTTGGTAACAGTACAGAATCTCTGTATTCTTGACTGCCTCCATTTATTTCTGTGTAATATTTAGGTACATTTAATAAGATAAAATCATGTGACTTCTTTTTAATTTTCATGACTAAGCTGTATGAACAATGAGACACCGGATTCATATAATTTAGGATACCGTGCATGGCAGCACACTGTAAAAAACAGTATGTGGCTTTTTTCAGATTTCAAATGCCTCATCTTTGATTTGGTGTTTGTTCAAGTGTAAAAGCATTTTATTACATTGCACTTTATCTAAGGAAATAGCTTACTCATTTGAGTAGTGTCCCTGATGCTAAGTGTTTGGAGGACTGGACTGTATACACTGTTTCTGTTAACATTATAAACAAGTAAAAAGAGGATTTGTTGCATAATGGTTTGAAAGTACGATGTTCATTGCTTCCTAAGCTGTCTTCCAAACATTTATCTAAGGAAATAGCTTACTCATTTGAGTAGTGTCCCTGATGCTAAGTGTTTGGAGGACTGGACTGTATACACTGTTTCTGTTAACATTATAAACAAGTAAAAAGAGGATTTGTTGCATAATGGTTTGAAAGTACGATGTTCATGGCTTCCTAAGCTGTCTTCCAAACATTTATGTAAGGAAATAGCTTACTCATTTGAGTAGTGTCCCTGATGCTAAGTGTTTGGAGGACTGGACTGTATACACTGTTTCTGTTAACATTATAAACAAGTAAAAAGAGGATTTGTTGCATAATGGTTTGAAAGTACGATGTTCATTGCTTCCTAAGCTGTCTTCCAAACATTTATCTAAGGAAATAGCTTACTCATTTGAGTAGTGTCCCTGATGCTAAGTGTTTGGAGGACATCTTTATGCAATACTGTTGCCTTGGGTTTGGGCTTAAATATATAATTATGAATGTGGATTTCATAAATAATTGTTTTAAGGAAGTGTGTGGATGTTCTTATTATGTAATAAAACTTCAGCCATGAGTACACTAATAAATCTTGCACACTAGATGCTAATAAGACAATTGAATGTCTTGTAAAAATAACCACTTACCCAAGTTATCTTGTGCCAAGAGCCAAATCTTCTAGTTCACTCCTTTTTAAAGTCCAAGAAAATTCTGCATCTGAGTTAGGATGCAGGATTTGTGCCAGAAGGGCCCAGTCATATTCTCACTGAAGTCATTTGACTTCAGTGGGATATGATTAAGTCTTTACTAAAGATCTGATTGTACCAGTTAGGTGTAGTGCAAAGCTGATTTGCCTCAAGTGCTTCTAGAGACCAAATGTCTTTCTGAGCTAAGCAGTGTGCAGAGAGAGTGTGCACACTGACACACATTTTGTGAAGGATATATCATAATCTGTTACCTGAGCACAGTTGCATGCAGTTTTGCACTCTTGTAGTAGTACCGGTTGGACCTTCTTGGTCCAGCACCTGACCAGTCCCGAATGAGAGAATTTGCTGGAACAGAGGAAGTCTGCCCCGCGGCAATCCCCGAGCACAGCAGCCACCTGTCCCGTCCCACCTGGCTGGGCTGCTTGCCCAGTTGCTGCCAGCTCTCTGGGCAGCAGAGGCTTTGACACCTGCTGCGAGGCTCCAATTCCATGCTCTACGGGGCTGCTGCAGGGGTCTGGATTTGCATGTTGCTGCAAGGCATGACACCAGCCCCACACTCTTGGGGGCTGCCATGGCTCCCTGCTCCTGTATTCCAGGGGACTACTGCAGGGCTCTGGACCCGCACTCCAAGAAGCTGCCAGAGGACTCTGGTCCCGTCCTGCTGTGGGGCTCTGACCTCAGCCCCAAGCTCCCAGGGGCTGCTACAGTGCTGGGGGATTGCCGCGGGGCTTTAGCTCAGCTCTGACCTGTGCTGCTGGGGGCTTCCGTCACGCTGCCCCCAGCTGGGCTGCCATCCAAGGTTCCCTGTAAGCTGCATGCCTGCAGCCTTTTTCTGAACCCTATGCAGATGTTGAGAGATCCCTGTGCAAGCAGGGTACTCAACTGATCAGCTGGGGAAGGGGAGGTTGGGGAGAGGCACTTGCTCTCTTGCTGTGAAGGAGCAGAAGCAGCAGCAGCTGCCTGCTATACTGGCTCCAGCCTCTATTCGGGTTGTGTCTCTTCTCCACCTCCTCTGGAGGGACTGTACTCACTGGGGGTTAGCAAGTTCTTCAGTCAGGGAGGCAGGAAGTACTTGGGGGATCATGTGACCCATGATGTGTGGTTGTGGTGAAGCTGCCAGCTGAAAGGGAAGAGGGATCAGTGCTTCATTGCCTGCCACATGAAAAAAGCTGAGTGTAAGTTACAGGCACTGCCAGATCAGGTCAACTTCTCTGCTTTGCTCCCAAATGCTCTCCTGCCCTGTAAACTGCTAACAGGGTGGAAGCCTTCCCCCGCTTTCTGCTTCTCCCCTAGCTTCCTGTTGGGGAATTGGGTGTTCAGGGAATCCCCTGTTTTCCCCTATGTCTATTTAGAGTAGTACAATTGCCTTTTTACCTCTCTGCCTCAATTTTCCTCTTGCCAATTTGCAGCCCTCACTGCTCCATGGTAACAAGACAACACCTCTCTTCCCCCTCCCCTGTGCTTTCATACTTTGACCCCATTTAGAATCAGGTCAGTATCTCCTACAGTGAGAGGAAAACCAAACTTCTCCCAGGGCTGTCACTGAAAATAGGAAATATCCTACAGTTTCAGCCTTCTCTCTCTGATCACTTGAGCCACTTCCCCCTCCCCCCCCTCTGCTTTTTGACTCTGAGTTCCATGCTTGGAAAGCATCCCTCCCTGGCTGCAGGAGACAGGACAGTCACTGTCTACATGTGCAGAGGCTGCAAATTGGTCAGGGTAGGAGACTTTTTTGGTTGAATTAAGACATTTGATAAAGATATTTGGGGGAAGGGAAAGAACCCCATGTTGTGAGGAGACATTGTGAGAGGTGAAATGCAAGACTTTGGATAAAAGAGTAAGATGATTGTGAAGCTGTGTATTTCCTTGAGAACAGTGCAAGCTGGAGCCTCTGGTAAACTTGCTCTGTAGAGGTTATCTTAGGCAGTTAAGGGAGGGGGAACTTATTTTAGTACCATAAGACTTCCCTTGGAAAGGACCTAAGGCAGTGGTCTCCAACCCTTTTACACCCAAGATCACTTTTTAAATATCAGGGCAAGCCGAGATTGACCCCACCCCTTCCTTGAGGCCCCACCCTCTCCTTTCCCCTTTTCTCTATCACTTGCTATCCCCAGCCCTTACTCACTCTCATTGGGTTGAGACAGGATGTACGGGCTCTGGGGTGGAATTGAGGGATTTGAGTGTTGGAAGGGGTGGGAGATGCAAGCTCTGAAAGGAAATTTGGGTGCAGGAGGAGAGGGGACGCCAGGCTGGAGAGTGTTGAGGTTAGGCAGAGGGTTGGGGTGCTGAGCAGACTTCAGACTTGTGGATATCGGGGTGCAGGTGTTTGGGTTCGGATGTATGAGGGGCTCAGGACACAGGTTTGCAGTGTGTGGATGGTGCAGGAGTGTTGTAGCACAAGATGGGCTGAGGGGGGTGCAGGAGTTTAGGGATGTGGGGGGCTCAGGGCAGAGGGTTCACATGTATGATGGGCTCAGGATTGTGGTGTGGGGGGAGATGCAGGAGTATTACGATGCTGCAGCCAGATGGGGGCTTGACCCCAATTGGGGGCTTGTTGGCCAGGCTTCATTTTTACATAAAATATTATGTCCAGCAAGAAAGGTTTTAACGTGGTCTTTATTTATGGGAGTGGTAGGGAACATTTTTTGGGTTAGGGGGCCCAAATCAGTCAGGGACCACACAACTGAGATGCAAAAAACCAACCCCTCCAAAAAACCCCAGCCCTCACTCATGTGGCCCCAATTAAGACATCTCACTCCCCTGGCACTCCAGCCTCGTTGTGGGGGCGGGGCAGGAGAAGGGCAGGTAGAACTGAGATTCAAGGCCTCAAGCCAGATCAACTCTTCTGGGGTTCCATGGCTCTGGGGTGGAGCCAAAAATGAGGGATCCTGTGTGCGGGACAGCTGCCAGTGAGTGGGATAGGGATGGGGGTACAGAATCTGGGTGGGGAATAGGGTACAGGAGCAAGCTGGGGGTAAGTGTCTGGCCAGGAGGGAAGGGGCTGGAACAGGGTGCTGGATGGTGTCTGGCCAGGGGGAAGGGTGCTGGTGGTGGTCTGGCCAGGGGAGAGGGGGCAGGGGCAGCTTGGATGGCACCTGGGGGTCTCCAGGGATGAGTATCTCTCAGGAAGGGTCTGCAGGCAGCACTAGAAGAAAGCGCACGTGCGGCTCCTTTAAGAAATCCAGCCACTCCAGATCTTCCACTGCCATCTTGAACATCTACCCTGCTTCCTTGGTTCATGGGGGAAGGAAGGGAAGACAAGAAAGTGCGTACGTTACTTGTGGGGAGGGGAGGAACAGTGCACATGTACACTTCCTGAGAAGCTCGATCTCATGTGGAGCTGTAGGACTCCCCTCCTGCCTCCCACCCCCTGCTGCCGCAGGAAGCTGGCTTTGGCTTCAATTTTGCGAGGGGCGGGAGCTAGTATGGGCTCCTTGTTGTGGGTGGGGGCCATGAAGGTGGAGCTGGGAACACAGCATTGAGATTGACTGGAAGTGCCTGGGTGACCACTGCCCTAAGGGGAAGCAGGCTGCATGGGGGAGGGGTGTGTGTGTGCCAGGACATTTGCATGATTACATTTCAAACAAAGTTTACATAGGTGTTAATGCATCTGCCTGTTAGAAAAGATGATGATACATGTACTCCAAGGTCTCAGAGGGGTAGCCATGTTAGTCTGTAACTAAAAAAAAAATAAAAAACAACAAGGGTCTTGTAGCACCGTAGAGACTAATAAAATATATAAACAGTATCATGAGCTTTCATGAGTACAACCCACTTCTTCAGCTAAAGGTAGTGTTAATTTTCTTTTTATTTGATTTCATAGTAAATAATCATAAGCATTGCTCCTTGTTAGTTATCCCTTGTTTTAATATATTTTCTTCCACACCTATGGACTATTTAAAATATATATTTATATCTTTGTTTTTTGTTTGTACTTGTGGGTGCACATTCACACACTACCTGAATATTGGAGTTGTACATAAGAAAATTCAATCCACCCAAAAGAAAATTCAACCTGCCCAAGAATGGAAAATCTTAGAGGGAACACTGCTGCCAACCCTATTGCCCCGCTCTAACTGGCCCTCCTGCCCTTAGGCTCCCGGGCTCTCTGGTCCAAGAGCATCTGTGATTCTGTCAGACAACAGATGTTGCTGGACCAGTGAGTGCTGGTTTTTAGAGGCACAACCTGTAGTTAGAAATGCTTATTACATGTGCCAGACCTCTTTCTGCCCAATTCTTCTGTGAGCTGTGTAAAGGTGGGAGAAAAGGGAGGGCTCCTTGTTCCCTATTATTTCTTTACTGAACACACATAGCCATGTGTATGCCTGGGTGATCGAATCTACTGTGTTTTTGTAGCAAATGCTTAGCGATGTTTAATGTGGTTTTTTTACCTTGGCAGGACCTGAAAAAACCTTTTGATAAGGCTTGGAAGGACTATGAAACAAAAGTGTATGTATTTCCTTTTTACTACAACTGAAGAGCATTGAAATGTAAAGGTGCTGGTTGTTAATATTATCCTAACGCCTCAAAAATCTGTCTGAGTTCCAGAGCATAATTTCTTTCCATGGCTGTGCACAATAATGATCTATGGAAAATTCTTTGGGAAGTCTATAGTTGATAATATAACTTACTTCATGAGTTAATATTTTTTTATTGTACTACTAGCAGACTTACCTGGTGTTGCTAGGGTCCTTCGGGCAGGGACTGGCGGTGTGGGGGGGACGACACAGTGCAGGGCCTTAGGGATGTGGGGGGAGGGTACAGGAGTCTGGGGATGGGGGAATGTGAGAGTGAGGGTGGTGAAGCGGGGTTGGGGGGTGGGGAGGTTCAATCCATCACAGGTCTTTTTCTTCTCCCAACCCCCTCTCCTAGGGGGGCCAGGGCATCTTCTCGCCCTCAGCCCCTGGCCTCCAAAGGCATTTTTTCTCCTCCCAGTCCCCTTCCTCCAGCCACCACGGAGCTTCCCTCCCTTCCCTCCAAGGGCTGGGAGTGGTGGAAAGGGTTTGGGGGTAGCAGGAATACTTACTTGGTGTTCTGGCAGACAAGATGGTGGCACTCCAGCTCTGCTGGCCACTCGCTTGGTGGTACAGAATAGCTGTCCCTCTGGGTTTGCTGCCCCCAGTGGCCACTCTCATATTGCAGTCCTCTGAACAGCAGCCCCTCTCTTTGCATGTTATGGAAAACAGTCCTTTCCCTGGGTCTTCTAGTTGTCCTGGCACAATCAAACCCTGACTTTGCTTTAAGTTAGGAGAAGAAGAAGCTGCATTCCAAAGTTGGTGGCCCTCGCTCTTATCATTTAGGAGGCGTAATTGAACAAACGGAGTTGCCAACAGACACACAAACAGATTTACTCTAAAATATATAGAGATGGCCATGCTGTTTAAAAATTGCATTCCATTTTTTGTAAGCTTGTGTGCTTAATATTGTTCCTAGTAGAGAGCAGTCAAAAACAATCCCTATTTATTACCCCCTTTTTGCTGCATTTGGGGAAAGGAATTGTTATTTTAGTACATCCTGGTGTGATGTTGACTAAAAGTGGCAGTAAGGTTGACCTTAGCTGACATTGCATATACAAGTGAAAATGCCATAAGGTCCAACTGAGTTAGGAATGTTAAAATGTATTTAATTAGGTAACCATGTAACCGTTGAAAATTCCAGCAGTTACACAATTACAGACCAGGTGGCAGTTGGCTCCATGGGAGCCAGTACACATGAACAGCTGGCTTTTAAGCTGGCTCCCTGCGCATACCGGGACCCTGCATGTAACTGTGCAGGTTAACCAATGAGCCCAGGTTCATTGATTAACCATGTACTTGGTTACACTGTCATATCACTAATCTGAGTCAACACTGCTCAGTGCCTATGTTCCAGCTCTGTTGTTTAGAGTAAACCTATTTGTTAAGGTGAGTTAGTGCCTAATATCAGTATTAGGCAAATAACCAACTTGAATAAGTCAGTAGATCCAATGCAACACCACAGACTTCTCTGACATGCCACTTATTAAAGGGCATTTTGTTCTACCTTATTTCAGCATCACCAAGATTGCTTAATTTGTCCTGGATGGCTGAATCTGAGTCAAAATATGCAGCACACTTGGTTTTCTGACACAATCTATACTGAGCGGTCTAGTATTGATTACATGGTGCCACAGAATCAGGAGAACCTGATGCTGTACACTGTCTAATATATATGGGTCACAGATGGACTGACTGTAGTTCTGAAAACCTGGCACCATTGATTTCTGTTTTTTATAAGTGACATCATGTTTCCCTGATCATATGAAATTTGAGTTGGCGCCCCTAAATCTTGGTATTGTGCCCTAGAGTTTGTCCAGTTGTGAGCCATAGTTTACTGAGACTAAAACCTCTTGCGCAAAAGGGAAAGGAAGAGAAAATGCAAATGAGAGAGCAACCTATGCAAATGAGTGCTCCATTTGCATTTGCTCTTCCGCAAGAGGCTTGTAGTATAGACATAGCCTAGGTGTCCTTTTATTGGAGTCCACCTAGATGAAATCAGTAGAACGGAGAGATTTCCAGGCTGATGGTTGTGAGGAGGACCAAGAATAGCCTTAGTCACCTATAAAACTCATCAGCTGGGTTTCCTAAACAAGGTGTTCTTGAGTGCCAAGATGTCCTTGGTTCTGAAATCTTGAAGATCTTTTCCCATGCTGAGATTAAGTGGTATGAATACCTATCATACCACTTACTGATACTGAAAATGGCTAACACCTCAAAGGTGTTGCAGGTGGCCTGACTTTGAAACTATTACTGTCTTGTCTTAATGCTTTTGTTTCTAAAGATAGGCTATAAAGAGCTTTCCTATAGGTCACTCTAATATTGTGATGCTGCACAGCTATATCTGAATAATAGTCCTGTTTAAGTACAAGCAGTTGTATATTGACATCCCCCTAACTTCCAAGGAGCAACAGTTTAAAAATAAACACATTAATAAGAATAACACATTTTGGCAGCCATTGCTGAGCCCACGCTGCCTTGGTACCAAAGGACTCAGTTCCAGTTGGGTTTGGTTTTCAGTTTGGGTTTGGCCACAATTGTGATGCTTTACAAGATGCCATGCAAATGTTTTAGAGGATAGGGTTAACATTCAAAATGATTTGGACAAACAAGACATATGGTCTGAGGTAAACAAGATGAAGTTTATTAAAGACAAATGCAAAGTACTCCACTTAGGAAGGAACAATCAGTTTCACACATACAGAAAATGGGAAGTGGTTGTATAGGAAGGAGTACTGTGGAAAGGGATTTAGGGGTCATAGTGGATGACAAGTTAAACATGAGTCAACAGTGTGACATTGTTGCAAAAAAAAAGCAAACATGATTCTGGGATGTATTAACAGGATTGTTGTGAGCAAGACACAAGAAGTAATTCTTCTGCTCTAATGTGCACTGATTAGGCCTCAGTTGGAGTACTGTGTTCATTTCTGGGCACTACATTTCAAAAAAGATGTGGAGAAATTGGAGAAGGTCCAGAGAAGAGCAGTAAAAATGATAAAAGGTCTAGAAAACATGAGCTATGAGGGAAGACTGAAAGAATTGGGCTTGTTTAGTTTGGAAAGGAGAAGACTGATTAGTGGTTTTCAGATATCTAAAAGGGTGTTACAAGGAGAAGGGAGAAAAATTGTTCTTCTTCACCTCTGAGAATAGGACGAGAAGCAATGGGCTTGGGCTGCAGCATGGGAGGTTTAGGTTGGACATTAGGAAAAACTTCCTAATTGTCACGGTGATTAAATACTGGAATAAATTGCCTAGGGGAGTTGTGGAATCTCCATTACTGAAGATATTTAAGAGCAGGTTAGACAGACATCTGTTAGGAATTATCTAGATCGGGGTTCTCAACCGGGGGTATGAGAAGCTTGTCAAGGGGGTATGGGGAATATTTGGTAAATAACTAGATTATCCTAATTGAAATATTCCAAAAGTAGTAGTGTTAGTGAAAAAAGTTGTGGATTCTAGAGTCTAGAATGTGTATTTCCTTTCATATTGAATAGGGGGTACGGGAAGGTTTACTAAAAGTGAAGAGGGTACGGGGACCGAAAAAGGTTGGAAACCCTGATCTAGACAGTACTTGGTCTTGCTGTGAGGGCAAGGGACTGAACTCGATGACCTCTCGAGGACTCTTCCAGTTCTATAATTCTGTGATTCTATGATTTTACTCCTGGAGCTTATTCTGCTGCAGTGCTAGGAAGCCTTCAGATTTTCATCCTCAGTTTGGACGTGACAGATGCAGCGCACCAGTGTTCTTGTGTTGTTTTAAATTTATCTGAGTTTGAATGCTGAGTCAGTGACAATGCTCAGTGAAAAAACATTTCAACTTGTATATTTGGGATTCTGAACTGAGATTGAAAACACCAGTTGCTCAGAACTGTTGGCTTTTAGCGCTGTTCCGTAGTTACTCAGAACATTAAAACTGTTATCTAGATGGTGACGTTAGTATCATATTACCTCTTTTTATAGGACTAGATCCAACTCTGTATATTATGATTTCAGCTAATCAGGATATCCACACGATTATTTCCTTTTTAAACCGTACACTGTTTTGGCATTCTGACATAATAGTTTCAAACATTAGGGCATTCATGTTTGTATCTGTCTTGAAATTGGTCCACCGGTTCCTATCACATTGTAACTGTGAACTATTTTTATACACATTATCTGTGGCTTCCTTAAGACTGATTACTTAGGAACTGTCTTGTCTTGGCACTATTTATACCTGAGCCACTTATGTCTCAACTCATTCAAGATACAGAAGGTCAAGATAATGTGCTTGTCAGAGAATTCCTTTCTCATCTTCCTTTCCATCTACAGTAATCTTTCCAGGCTTTGGGATGGGGACCATGTTCTCCAACTTCTTTCTGGAGTTGGAGACTATTTGTCTAGCCTGCAAGACATTCTCCCTTTGATCAAGGCCAAAGACTTATTTGCTGAAGGAAGAAGGGAAACTGTACGGGCAAATTCTTTGAAATATGTTATTGCATAACAGCACAAATATTTTAGTGAAGTTTTAGTCTGGGATTTTAAGTCATGTTTATATCTCCCTATTACCAAGGACAGTATCTACTGTATCCCTTCCTCCTTCAGGGTAATATAAAACCCGTTATCAAAGGCAGACTGATTTTTCCTGGACTAAATCTGTGTTTTCTTTCTGATTTTGTTAGCTGAGGAGATCTGTATATCAGTTGAGATGTAGCCAAGATTATGTCAGTAGCCCTAAGCAAAGTCTTTTTCAGTGGTGTTGTAGCCATGTTTATCTCATGGTATTTGGGAGAGGAGATGGGAGAGTTAATATTTTTTATTGGACCAATTTCTGGTGGGAGAGAGGCAAACTTTCAAGCTTATGCAGAGCTGTTTTTAAGGTTCCTAACTAGGACTTAGTAGTTTGGTCTTCAAATATCTTAGGTCTCAGGTTAGCACCCACCTCCCATGGAGACT